TGGAGGTAGTTTGAGATGTTACCCGCCCCTTTCATCTTGCCTCTGTTCTTTCACTTTGAAGTACAGTGTTATTTAATTTTATGCATTTCAATTCTTTCTGGATTCACCAGAGGACAAAACCTAACTCAGCCAGGAAGAGTTTTTGTGCTTTAATTTAAAACAGAGAACTTTCAATTTAAATTGTATCCTTAGGATAAAGGCAGAGCCTTGCTCGGATGCCCTGAATGCCATTTTCTTCTGACCCCCATCTTGGAGAAGGTCTTAGATTGAAATGACTGTTTGGTCTCTGTCTTTGGCAAGGGCGTCAACTGCTTTGAGTCTTCCATAGATATTGATCAGCAAAGGCCTCCTTCTGTAGAGGCATTGCCCGAGAGTGGAGCAAACTCAGCATCTGGGAATGAGGTGCAGGCAGAGACCAGCACAAGTAGACACATTGACATAGAGGCACAAGACAGCCCTCTGGGTAAACAGGATAGACATGATTGTGGTGATATTGTGTTCCCCAAAATATTGTGCACCCTAATAAACTTATCTGGGGTCAGAGAACAGAACAGCCACTAGACAGACATAGAGGCCATAAAATGGTGGCACTCACACCTTTAATCCTAGCACTCCAAAGGCAGAGATCTGTCTGGATCTCTGTGAGTTCAAGGCCACACTGGAAACAGCCAGGCATGGTGACTCATGCCTTTAATCCCAGGAAGTGATGGCAGGAAGCAGAAAGGTATATAAGGCGTGAGGACCAGGAACTAGGCCTGGTTAAACTTTCAGGCTTTCAAGAAGCAGTTCAGCTGAGATCCATTTGGATAAGGACACGGAGGCTTCCAGTCTGAGGAAACAGTATCAGCTGAGGAACTGGCGAGATGAGGAAGCTGTGGCTTGGTCTGCTTCCCTGATCTTCCAGTTTTCACCCCAATACCCGCTCCAGGTTTGTTTTTATTAATAAGAACTTGATCTTATTTACTTTACCATAACAATTGTATAGAGGCTCACTCACTGATTACAGGGCTTGCCATGAAAGCTTGGGGACATGAGTTCATACCCTCCAGGATTCACATAAAAAGCAAGAAGTGGTAGCAGTGTGGTTGCAATCCCAGGGCTGTGTAGGCAGAGATGGGGACATCCCTGGGGCTACTGGACAGCCAGTTTTGCTGAATTGGTGAGTTTTAGATTTAGTAAAAGATCTTAAAAGTGAAAGACAATGGTATCTTTGCTTTACCAGTGTGAACACCCACACCCATGCATGTATATACATGAGTATATGACTAACAAATACATATACTACATATACACAAATCCCTACAGGTAATCATGAGAAGAAATGTGAGTAGACTATTTAGAGGGCTGTCTGGACTCTAGTAACAGGTGCTGGTTACTGCCATAGTCATTATTTTGTTTCTCAGTAAGGGACACACTCCCTAGGATGGCATGCCAGAACCTCCCAAGAGAAGACTCTGAATTTCAAAACCTTAATTCCTTAACCCTTAATGTATCTAGTGAAGGGCTACAAGGAAATGTGGTCTTACTTCACCTTTCTGTTTCCCCTCAGGTGTGGACATCTAACTGAGAAAGACTGCTGGGCATCATCCATCTCCGGTGTGAGCCTGGATGGCAGTGGTGCTGAGAACGGCCCCGTGTAGCTCATCTCCTTCTGCAGAGCTGTGTCCATTCTGGGATGGTCCCCAGATCAATCTTGCCACACGGATTATTAGGGAATCCATATCCAAGTGGAAGGACATGGTATTTGTAGATAAGACCATTTTCAAGGAAGGCATTAGAACTTCACGTTTAAAAGCTGTACCACCGGAAGTGAGTTGCTTTTTCTAACTTGCTGCTGTTAATAATAATAACTGCTGGCTTGGGATGGCACCAAGTACCCCTCAACCACAAAATTATTACATTGCTACTTCATAACTGTAATGTTGCTACTATTGTGAATTGTAATATAAATATCTGATATGCAGGATATGTGATATGTGACCCCTGTGAAAGGATTGTTTGACCCCCCAAAGTGTTCATGACCCATAGGTTCAGAACCACTGATTTAACAGGTTAGACACTTCTACTTCCCAGTTGTGGTTAACAATAACCACAGTGCCATTTTATATCCCCAGCAGGGATAGATGAGGATTTTGGTCATATCCCATCCTTGCCAATCTTTGGTACCAGGCATCAATCTCTGATTATACCCATATGGGTTTGCACAGCTGTAACATTTAGTTGTAACTTATCCTTTGCTAGTGGCTAATGTGCTTTTATACTCATTATTAACCAATATGGTTTGTTTCATGAATTACTCTAAACTTTTGTCAATTTACAAAATCTTTGTTGTTTAATTGTAAGAGATTTTTTATATATTATGGATACATCTTATTTGTCAGATAATACCTTGAAAACAATGGTTAGTCTTCTGCTTGGTGACTTTCCTTTTCATATACACAACTGTATGTGTTTTGAAGGGTGTGATATTTTTATTTTTAAAAAGCCATTTTATCTTTTTCTTTCATGGCTATACTTTATAGTGGTCATATTTGAGAAACCTCTGCCTAATCCTAAAATACTTCTAGTTTTTGTTTTATTTTGTTTTAAGATAAGAGTCTCATATAGTCCAGGTTGACCACAAACTTTTGATGTAGCCATGGCTCTCCTGGAGCACTCAATTCTCTTGTTGACACCTCCCAAGTCCTGTGGTTACAGATGTACACTGCAGTACCAAGTGTGATGGTTTGAATGAGAAATGGTCCTGTAAGTGCTGGTATTTGAATACTTGGTCCCCAAGTTTGTGGTGTTGTTAGATAGGTCATGGAACCTTTGGGAGGTGGAGGACATGTGTCACTGGGGGCGAGCTTTGAGTGTTTATAGCCCTTCCCCATTTCATGCTTGTTTTGTAGAAGTGAGCACACAGCTTCCCATTCCTACTGCCCCGCCTTCCTGCCATGATGGCCGCATCTCTGTGATGAAATCTTCCTTCTGTCCATTGCTTTTGGTTATGGTTGTTTATCACGACAACAGAGAAGCAAATCCATCTGGCCTTTCCAGATTTTTATGCCAGAGTTCTGCATGTGCAGTTCTTGTGTGGAGGCCTGTGACAAATTTTGATTTGGGTGCATGGTGTGAATTAAAGGCCAGTATTGATTGTTTGTGTGTGGGTATTCAACTGTGCCTTTAGACCAGATTAGCTATTTTTAATTGCTTAGACCATAAACATAGCATTTTTAAAAACTTCATTCCTGTCTTTTTGATGTTTGTTTGTCCTCTGTCAATACATCACTGCCTTAGTGACGGTATATTTAAGTTTTGAAATCAGGGAGTGTTAACTATTCAATTTGAATTTATTCTTTTTTTCCACACTGGTTTGACTCTGCTGTTTCCTGTGCCTTTTTCTATATGTGGGTCAACCTCTGAAGTTTTATTGCTAAAAAGGCTTTTTGGTATTTTGATGGAAATCGTATTACAGGAAGAGTTTGGGCAGAATTACCATATTAATAGCATCTAGTCTTCTAACTCGTGGATATGGTTTGTCTCAGTTTATTTAATTTTTCTTGGTTGTGTTTTATAGTTTTCAGTTGCAAATCTTATACCTTTGTTGTGTTTGTTTCATCTGGGGAGCTCAATTGGTAAAAGAATTGTTTAATTAATTTTATTTCCAAGTTGTTCACATTCACAGAGCAGTACAATTTTTTAAATATTATATTAGCATATATTAGTTCATTGATATAGGAGGACCCAAACCACCGTGGGTGGTGCTACCCCTGGCCAGGTGGGTCTGGACTGTATAAGAAAGCAAGCCATGGAGAGTGAGTCAGTGTTTCTCTACGGCCTCTGCTGTCTGCAGGTTTCTACCTTGAGTTCCTGCCTTGACTGCCCTCAGTGGTGGACTGTAAAGGGTGATACGAAATAAACCATTTCTTCTTCCACTTAGTTTTTGTCAGTCTTTCATCATAGCAACAGGAACCAAACTAGAACATCAGGGAATAGGTCAGGAGGAGAGGTCAGATGCTCACCTTGTGTCTACAGTCAGGAAGCATAGAGATCGGCACCGGTATTCAGTTTGCTTCCTCTTTCTCCCTTTTCTCGTTATTCAGCTCAGGACCTGCCTGTGGGATGGTGACATCCACATACAGGGTGACTCTTCCTCCTTCATTTCTACCTCTCTGGAAAACCTTTAACAGATCTGTCTAGAGGTGTGAGTCATAGGAGATTCACATCCAGCCAGCTTGACAATGCAGATGAACCAAAGCTCTAGCTTTAAATATTTGTCTTCCAGAATTGATGGGCTAATAATGTACACACCTACCAACAGTGAGCAAGGCTTCCTTTCCCTCCAGAACTTAGGCAGCACTAGTGTCTATTGATGTTTACTTGTTCACCATCCTTACTGGGATGAGGTAGTATATCGCCTTGTGGTTTTGCTTAACATTTCCTTAGTGACAAGCTGTGATGCAACATTCTTTTCTTTCTTCATGTATCTGTTGGTCACTCATACATGTTGTCTTTGGAAAAACATCTCATCAGATATTGGGTTATTGTAGAATTTTGTTATTGAGTTTGTTGAGTTCTTTATATAGTTTGAATAGCAGCCTCTTTTCAGGTTTATAGTTCACAGAAGTTTTCTCTCGTTCTGTAAACTGTCTCTTCACTAGGTTAATTGTTTCCTATGCTGTGTGGAAGCTTTTTTAGTTTGACACAATACCATTTGTCTAATTTGCTTTTGTTTCTTTTTGTGCTTTTTTTGGGTTTCTTCTAGTTCACTTTTTGTTTGGTGTGATAAACACTATGCCTAAGAGCAACATTGGGGTGGGAAGGCTTTGTTTCAGCCTATGCACCAGGATATATATATATATATATATATATATATATATAGTTTGTCACTAAGAGAAGAGAGAAGTTAGGGCAGGAACTCAAGCCAGGCACTAAGAGAAGAAACCATGGAGAAAGGCTGCTTACTGCTCTCTCACTTGCTCAGGTAGTAGCTTCTTTATACATCTCTGGTCCCCCTGTCAAGGGATGGTGCCACCCACAGTGGGCTGGGCCCTCTAGTCAATCAGCCATCCAGACAAGGTCCCACATACACACCCACAGGCCAATTGTCCCTAGGACCTTCTTCAGTTGAGGTTCCCTCAGTTGACTCTGGGCTGTGTGAAGTTGACAGCTGAAGCCAACTCAGACAGGGTCTTTTCTAAAAACTCCGTTACTGCTCCAGTTCCTGTTTGCTCATAGATTTGGTGCTTAATCCAGTTTGAATTGATTTTGTAAGTGTCGAGAGACAAGAACATAGTTTTCATTCTTCTACACATGGACATTCATTTTCCCTATCCCTGGTCTTTCTCCAGTGCTTGAGCTTACCAAGTCTGTCAGGTGATAGCAGGTTGCACATGTCTGGGTTTTCTAGCTTCTTTGCTCTTCCCCATTGGCCCATGAATCTTTCCTGGTAATTCCACGCTATAGTCTTGACTGCTACAATTTTATATTCTAAAACCTGGCAGTCAAATGTATCCTGCTTTGGCTTTTGTGCTCACAATTTAGCATATTATATAGTTATGTATGGCTTTCAGAACTTTTTTCTCTAGTTCCATGAATCAATCATTGTGACAGGGATTGTAGATGTAATTCTAAACAGTCTTATTAAATAAGAAACACAGAGCCAAATAAAGAGTTAAAAGCCCAGAGATCGAGCAGTAGCCAAGAGCTAAGACCACCTTATCTTTCCACTCGCTGCTGTCCTTCCCCTGAGAGAGAGACCTTCTTCCTGTGTCCTGTCTTTTTATTGCCTTTCTGTTCTGCCTTCTCATTGGCTGTAAACCCAACCACATGACTTCCTCATCACTGCCTTTCTAGACCTGCAGGTCTCTATGGTTTGTACTGAGATTAAAGGTTTGGGTCACCGCTTGGCTGTGTCCTTTAACACACAGAGATTCTGCCTGCCATGTGATCCGATTAAGGGTGTGTGCCACCACCACTGGACTTCTGCTAAATGGCTTGCTCTTAGCTCTGATCTCCAGGCAACTTTATTAACATACAAATAAAATCACATTTCAGCACTAATAAAATATCACCATAAGGGATCATTGAATCTGTGGATGGAAAACTATCCCTCTGTTCTTGGAGATATCTTAATGTTAAATTTTGTGAAGCAGGGTCTTGCTATGGAATGCTCTCCTCTTACCTCAGTTCAGTCAGTACAGGGATACAGGCACATGCCTCCAAGTTCAGCTTCATTTCCATTTTTGATACCTCATGCCAACTGCCTTGGTCTCAGCCCATGGGTCTTGGGAATGTCCTCTTCAGTGAAGTACCCAATAAGCGCTTTTGTTTCTTTTCTTTTTAGGATATAGGCTGTTTATGATCCATTTGTGGGACTTTTTAAAATATATTTTGAGACAAATTTCTTCAGCAGATCCTTGGGTTACAGATATCTTCTCTTCTAGAGCTGGAGATATATCTCAATTAATGTCATCTTTTGGTAAATTAATTTTTAAGATTGAAATATGTGATTATATTCTTATCATTAATTTCTCAATAAAATTAAAAAGAAACAAAGCATGAATTTTATGTGAATTTGTTTCAAATATATTGATGCTTATTATGTATTTTAAACATAAGTTATTAGAGTGAAAACTTAACATATTTTATTCAGTAAATATATAAGAACTTGATAAGGGCATTGCAAAGAAATTAAATTATATTAGGTAGTCATTCTGATGAACACAAGCATAATGTTCTAAAAATATCTAGTGAATTATGGAATATGTAAAACTGATAATATAATCATGATCATTTTTCCATGAAGGGATGTTACCTTAAAATTATTATTACACTTCATTTGTTTGTTTAAAAAGGTTAAACTTCGCCGGGCGGTGGTGGCGCATGCCTTTAATCCCAGCACTCGGGAGGCAGAGCCAGGCGGATCTCTGTGAGTTCGAGGCCAGCCTGGACTACCAAGTGAGTTCCAGGAAAGGCGCAAAGCTACACAGAGAAACCCTGTCTCGAAAAACCAAAAAAAAAAAAAAAAAAAAAAAAAAAAAAGGTTAAACTTCAATACAAAAAATGTTTCAGATGAAAAGAATTCACACAGTGAAATTAACCAGGCCAAAAGGTACAACCTTCCCCTCTTTTATTAAGCATAGATTCTTTTCTCAAACAATATAATAGTTTCCCCTCTCTCTACTCCTCCCATCCCCATCTCCTTTCCCATCTGGATCCACTTCCTTTCTGTCTCTCATTAGAAAAGAACAGGCAACTGTGAGATAAAAGCAAAACATAACAAAATAAAATATAATATGATAAAACAAAACTATCATATTAAAGTTGGAAAAGCCAAGCCAGCAGAAAAATAAAAAAGCCTGTAGAGAAGAATAAGAATCAGAGACCCTCATTGACATATTCAGGAGTCCCATAAAGTACTAAACTGGAAAGCTGTAGTGTACATGCAGAGGACCTGGTGCAGACCTGTGCAGGCCCTGTGAGCTTATATGAGCTTGTTTTAAAGGATCTTGTTCTCCCAGTCTCCTCTGTCCCCTCTATCTCCCCCACTCCTCTGCCCCTTCTTCCATGGGGTTCCCTGTGCTCTGAGGGGAAGAATCTGATGGAAACATCTTGTTTAGAGCTGTGTTTTCCAAGGCCTCTGTCTCTCTGTCTCTGTTTGTCTGTCTCTCTCTGCATAATGTCTGGCTGCGGGTCTCTGAATCTGTTCCCTTCTGCTGTAGGAGGAAGCCTCTTTGATAATGATTGAATAAGTCACTGATCTGTAAGTATAGCAGAATATCATTAGGAGTCATTTTATTGTTACTTTTTTTTAAGACTAGTAGTACTTGGTTTTCACACTAGGAGTCTGGGCTATCTAATCTCCGGTTCTTAGTTACTCAAGCAGTGTCACCTATGGGTTCCATCTTTGGGAGTGGGCTTTAAGTCAAATAAGATATTGGTTGGTTACTCCTACAAGGTTTGTGCCACTATTGTCCTAGCATATTTTGTAGGTAGGGCAGATTGTAGAGACTGTACAATTTAATGAACTCCTAAACAGAATAGGTATTTGGGACCTATTGTGTTTGTAGGCTTGTGCATGTGCATATTTTTCGTGCGTATGTGTGTGTGTGTGTGTGTGTGTGTGTGTGTGTGTGTGTGTGTGAATTGTGTTTGTAGGCTTGTGCATGTACATATTTTTCATGTGTGTATGTGTGTGTGTGTGCATTTGTGTGTGTGTGTGTCAAAGGACAACTTGCAGGAGTTGGTTTTTTCCTAGGAGGTGGGTCTCAGCCATCACACTCAAGTTGTTAGCCTAGGTGACAAGTGTCTTTACCCAGGAGTCCATCTTCTCAGTCCTGCAAGTTACATTTAAAAGTCAATGTATTTCCCTCCATTAGTAGAAAGAAAGAAAAAAAAAACATAGAAAATCATCTGCACATGTGCAAAATACAATGATAAAGTCATACTCTGGTTTCTCTCCAGATCGTATAAATCTTTCACATTAATAAAGTCAGATATCCATTAGATAAGACTTATTTTCAAATTATAAGTGAATTTCCTCAATGCGATCTAAAATATCTACAAAAAAATCAAACCAACCTTTATCAAATATGGTACTTTATGGGCCCATCTGACAGCCTTTTCTATACCCGAGACTGGATCTCCACAGATGTCCTCTGATGTTGTCTTCTCCACATTAGCTGCTGAAGTTTTCAGCCACTTTATGAGAAAAGAGAAGACATAAATAGCAGGTATAAGATGTAACCACTGGCAAAGAAGAGATGAAAGGGGTAGATTTTCAGTTAACTCCCTTATATGTAATCTGTAAGAAACTTTACACACACAAATTCAAAAGAAATTTTAGAGAAGGGTTAAAGCAGAGATTCAACAGGCTGTTGGGGAAAAATCGAGAGAGTCATATTTTGAACAGATGTCCACACAGTAAAATACCTCAACAAACACCATGAAAGAGAGAGATTCAGCAAGCGGTTGGGACACGGGAGGAGGAGAGGACTGAAGAGGGTGAGCGCTGACTTCGTCTTCCCTCGACTGTCGTTGTTGGAGTCCAGGCAATAGAGAACAGGCGGAGGTAACCTGAACTTAGGGGAAGCAGAAAACCAGGTGTTCCTCCAGCCCTGGAACCTAACGTTCCTGGTGTAATAGCTAGCACTGGGTGTGTCTGCCTGACACCAGGCTGAGTCCTGCAGTCATAGGTTCTGGGTCAGCTTCAGGGTGCTGCCTGTTCTGCACCTGGGCCTGTTCATTGCATCATTCTCCAGCAGACTTCAGATATAGGTGTGCTTCCAACTGGGGAGAGAAAAACAAAAAAAAAACAAAAACAAAAACAAACAAACGAACAAAAAAAAAAACCCCAAAACCCCCTCCTATCCTGATTTTAAAACTTGGCATGCAGGTTGATGTCACACTGAAACCTAAACCTGAGAAAGACCCATGATCCTGCATTTTCTCTCTTATATTTAGAAGTTTAAAAAAAAGTCAGTGGAGCAGAGAGATGGCTCAGAAGTTAAGAGCATTTGCTGCTATTACAGAGGACCAAAGTTTGGTTCCCAGCACTCATACTGGGTGGATCACAGACATCTGTAACTCTAGCTTCAGGGGGTCCAATGCCCTCTCCACAGGTACCTATACACACAGATGTATATACCTACCCATGGACATAAATAGCAATAAATCTGTTGACCTGAAAGTAGAATAATGGTTACTAGGAATTGGGAAGGGTGCTGTGGAAGTGAGCAGTGAGGCTCTAAGTGTGGGTGAATGTGTGATCAGTGTTGATAAAAGGACCATTTGCTGAAGATATGGCTGTTATCAACATATATGCACCTGATGTGGAGCCAAACAAATACACATAGCAAATAGTATCAGGCCTAAAGGAAAAGGAGAATTTCACCATCCTGTTTCCCTTGATGGACAAATGATCTAGATGAGATATTGTTGTCTGTTTCCTTTGGATTTAAACACTGCTTCCTGGGGTAGAATAGAATAGACTCATACAACTGAAGAAGCTTACAAAGGCCACAGGATTCTGGGGACTGCTCTCGGAAATCATGTGAGCCCAAAGCAATTGCTGGGGAGAGGAGACTCTTTAGCAGAACTCTCTGAAAGTTGGGCAAGGGAGTTCCATTGACACAGCCTTTCTGGAATCTTCCATAGGCAAGGTATGAATGAGCCTTTTGGTAGTTTATTCTGTTGTCTTAATATAAGTAACGATTCACTAATGATTCTGTCACCCCAATAAGATCTGTGGTAATCCTGATATGGCTACTTTTTCTTACTGTGGTGTGGGCTGATGTATTTGCCTGTGATAGTGGCTATTGTGTGTCCTCTGCTGTTAATGATAAGATGTGCAAACAAAACTGAGTCCTCTGAGAGAGGAGCATCTTTGGTGGGAATCCCAGAGTGGTCATCCCTTCTAATGAGGTGGCATCTCCCTTTGATGGATGGGGTCTGCCAAGTGAGTATGATGATGCCCCCAAACAGCTGATATACTAGAGAATATAGATACTGCAGTACTTGACAATAGTGGGGAGGGGCAGTAAAGTAAGATGGCTGTGACAACAGTTGTGTGGCCTTGACTGTGGGGGATGTGCTGAGGCTCAGCTGTCTGTTCAGAGAACTTGCCTACTTAAGGGAGTCATTACAATAGGAAAAAACAAAACAAAAACACATGGGCGCCATCATCTGCGTGCCTGCTGATCTGGCAGGAATCGTGGAACAAAGGGAGAGTAAGACTGTGGTGTTAGCATTCTGATTCTTACAGCTGGCAGGATGGAAAAGAAACAGTACAAATGAGATCTGTGCTCAATAACCCTTCCTGGCATCAGCAAGCTTGGAACCTACCAGAAGAATGAGATAGTGAGAAGGGAGAGAGTTAGGCAGAAGTCAGGGAATCTACTCCTTGGACAAAACTTTTAATACAGAGGAAGGGGAAATCCATGATTTGGCATGCAGGTGGGGCCTTCATAGTGGCCCATGCAGGCAGCTATGCTGTTCAGAGGATATTGCTTCCAAACTGTTGGAAAAGCTTTTTTTTTTTTTTTTTTTTTTTTTTTTAATAATGAAAGGTCCTCTCCCAGCCTGGCTCATGAAGCTGTAGGGAAGGGGATGACGGAATTAGTCTGAATGCTATGGAAGTTGAGAAACTGAGTCAAACAACTCCTTGAGACAAGGCTGATGAGACAATATGAGGGAAATCAAGACCTGACAGACTGGCTCATTTGAGTCTTTAGCTACATGTGGGTGCCACCAGCTGAAGTCTCCATGAATACCAGGGACTGAAAAACAGCAGAGCAAGGACACTTGCTGAGTCGCTAAGGGGTCTGGGAATAAAACAGGCAATTTGATGATCCGTTCATCAAGGCTGATAGGCTGGTCCACTGCAGAGTTAACAAAGTAGATAAGGGGCTGGAGAGATCATTCAATGGTTGAGAGCACTTACTGCTCTTGCAGCTGGTCAGAGGAACAGAGTTCTGTTCCCAGAACTCACATCAAGCAGTTCCCAACTGCCTCTGACTCTATCTCTAGAGACATCTGAAGCTATTGGAACACATGTACACACACACACACACACACACACACACACACACACACACACACACACACAAATCAAATTCACAAGAGTATTTTTTTTTTTTTAAGGAAAAGTTATAACTCAACAGGAACCTCAGGACTGGTGTGGGCAATTGCTGGCTTTGCTGAACCCTGTAATGGGACATGATCTTTGCAAAGTAGTAGAGGAGCTGATGGCTCAGAGTGATTGGGTTTGGAAGGTGGCAAAGCATTCAAGATAAAAAGAAACGGAAAGCAGACAAAGGCTCGTCTTGTTCACTTGGAAACAAATGTATGAAGATCTGTGTTGAGCTGGGGTTCTTAAAGGAAAAACATTGAAAGAAAGGTAAATTCTGAAAGGCTTTAAAAATTTGAAGTCTGAACAGCACTTCATCTAAGGAGTGTGAGTGACAGAAAACTGTGGGTGACAATGATCCTGCTTGTCCTGGGTGGGTAATTATCTCCCCAGAGTATACTGTGTAGACTTCCTTCCCGCAAGAAAATAGGCTGAGGGCACAGACTGTACGCTCAGCCCACAGTCCTTGCAGGAGCCATGTGTAGCTGGTAGTGATCATGATACTGATCCCAAGCTTGTCAGATCCTAGGAAGAACCAGCTTGAGAAACAGGAGCAGCAGATGCAACTGGCCTTTGCCCCCAGCATCACCACACAGCACAGGCAGACCTATTTAAGTCCATGGGGCATGGATGTCATGACTCCACAATAGAGTCCTGGGATGAAGGAATACAATATGCAGGTCATCCGTGCCGATGTACCCAGTATTGCCATTTTCATAAAACCGTTGATAGGAGAGGAGAGATCATTTGGAGCCGTATCAGATGCTAATTATTTTTAGTATCCCCTCAGCTGCTGAATCCGAAGACCAATTGCCACGTATTTGGAGTGGGCAGTGGTAGACTTTCAGAGATCCCACACACACCCTACAAAAAAATTTTATTATACATTTCTAATTCTTGAGTGTCTTACAAATTTGGGGACATATCCGAAAGAAAGGCCAACTCAGCAGAGGATGAGCTTGTACAAAGCCCTGCATGGAGGAAAAGGCACTTTAGTAGCCTCAAGACCGTTAGACATCGTGGATGTCATGTGGCTTCCTGCTTGAGTCCCTGTCTTGACTTTCCTAAAATGATGGGCTGTACCCTGGAACTGCAAGCTGAAATAATCCCCCCTCCACTGGTTGCCTTTGGACAGGGTATTTTATGACAGCAGCAGAGATGAAGGTACAGCATAGCCCTGGTACTAGGTACTGATGCTGAGTCCATGTAATAATGAGAAAGTGCACTCGGGTTGGGTCAGTTCTCTGAGGTCGGGTCATAGCACTGAGGGGATGGAACCTGTACACACTGTGCTCTATGAGAGCAGAGAGATGTCTCAGGGAGCTGTGAGTGCTGAGTGATGGCATAGCAACGGAATTAGAAAGGGAAGGGGGGCACCGGGAAAAATCGAGAGGTAAAAATCTCCAGGGCCCAGTCATTCTCTGAACATGTGGGCTGAAGAAGCGGAGCGGGTCAGAGGTGGATTGCCAGCTTTCTTGTCCTGATGTCTGGGTAAAGGGTAAAGACACTGACTGGGAGGAAGAATAGGTGACTAGGGAGTGGTTTGGAGCAGGGGCCACAGTTCAGTGTCAGGCTATAGAGGAAGGTTGTTTTTTCCATTTCCCTTCACCGATGTTGGCTTGTATTTTTTTGTTGTTTGCTTGACTTTTTAGAGACTTATTTTTACTTCATGTGTATGAGTGCTTGCATACATGTATACGTCTTTTCTCACCTTAAATGATAAGGTTTTGAGAAGTTTATACAATATATTTTGACCATATTCACCCCTCCCCCAACTCCTCCAAGCTCCACACCCCTTTCCCTGCCTTGTGCTCTCTCTCTCTCTCTCTCTCTCTTTTTTTTTCAAGCCATTAAATGCAATTCATGTAGTCCATATACTCTTAGGTGTGGGGTCATGCACTGTACTCTTAGGTGTATGGTTGACCCCCCCCCCCCGGGGGGGGGGGGCACACCCTTAAAGAACACTGACTCTCCTTTCTAGCTGTGTCAGTTGTCAGCAGCTCCTTAACTAGGGGTGGGACTTGGTGCACACCTCATCTCTCTGTACTGGGGTTTGGTTTGCTTTGGTTCGCTT